TGTGTGTGTGTGTGTGTGTGTGTGTGTGTGTGTGTGTGTGTGTATGTGTGTGTGTTAGGGGCTTTTCTTCCCTCTAGACTGGCTATAGAATCTGGATTCACATTTCCTGACTATCATTGAAATGATTTCCAAGGTTTCTTTGTTACCTTGAAAAGGTGTTACATTCCAAGTGGAGGGTTATTAGGGAGCTTTCAATAGTTGTGAAACTGAATTTCAAAAAGTGACACTGGGTACTTTTAGGCTTTTCTTTTTTTGGGGGGGGGAGGATGGGGGGGAGCATTGTGGGTTGTTGCAGGCCATAAAGAAGCCTGTTTGGAATATAGCCTGAGGAAGGAAAAAAACAAACATTTATTAAGAGCCTACTAAGTGACATATCACTATAATCCTGGGAGGTAGATGTTATTATGATTCCCATTTCACAGTTTAGTAAACTGAGGCTGACAAAGCTTAACCGATTTACACAGTATAGTACTGATAAGTAAATGTCTAAGACTGGATTTGAACTCAGGTGTACCCTGACTCCTGCACTGCCTAGCATCCCTAAGGAAAGTTTTTTGGTTTGTGGCAGAAACCTATAGTTGCAGAAATAAAGAAAAACAACTTTAGAAGGTCTCAGATATCTGATCAAGGCCAGGACCTGTCACACCTCCACAGGAGCTAGGATGAAATAGCCTCCAGACAGAGGTAATAGAATCAAAGTGTGGAGGAAGATATGTATCTTTGGACATGGCCACTGTTTGGGTTGGTTTGGCTTGATCATACTTATCTTGTTTTTAATTGAGAAGGCAGGGAATATGGATGGCAATGCCAAAAAAAAAAAAAGGAATAAGTATGCTACAGCTACAGCCCTGGGCTTGGAGTCAGGAAGATCTGAATTCAAATCCAGCCTTAGACACTTATTAGCTGTGTGACTTCTAGGCCTAATTTCTAATTCAATTAAAGAGTGACCCTAAGCAAGTCACTTAACCCCTGTCTCAATTTTCTCATCTGTAAAATGGAGATAATAATGGTTCCTACTTCTTAGGATTGTTGTGAGGCTCAATTGAGATAATATTTGCAAAGCATAGTGCAGTGCCTGACACTGATAAAATGCTTGTTCCTTTCCCTTTCCTAAATGGAAATGCTCCTGGGGTTTTATGGTGTTAATATTTCTTAAAAAAGAAAAAAAAAGAAAAAAATGGGGCACCTACGTGGCGCAGTGAATAGAGCACTGGTTCTGGAGTCAGGAGGACCTGAGTTCAAATCCGACCTCAGACACATAACACTCATCAGCTGTGTGACTCTGGGCAAGTCACTTAACCCCAATTGCCTCACACACACAAAAAAAAAAGTAAAAAAAAAAGAGAAATAAATGATAACCAATGTGGGGGAAGTTGCTATATTTCACATATAAGCACATATACTTGGGAACAAAACCTTATTTGTCAAGTTTTTCATTGAAGTTTTAAAATTTATTTTTAATGACTCTTAGTATCTATTCCTCTTTCTAGGTCCTGCTCTCAAGCATTATTTGAGTATGGATCTAACTTTGCATTCTTTTTGTTTGTTTAATTTAAATTTTTATTGATGTCTTTTGTTTTATATCACCTTCATTTTCAAAAATATATCTCCTCTTCCCTACTTGAGATTGCCATTCCTACTTAAAAAGAATGAAATATAATTTATTGCTGTATATTTTGAATCCTCTCTTACGTTCTGCTGTAAGCATGGCAATGCCTTTTTTTTCCTTTCTCATTTTGTATTTAAGTTTTAATATTTAAGTTTATAATGTTTTTATCTTATTGTATATTTAAGTTTTAGTATTTAAGTTCAAAATAATTACATTTTTTACAAAAGAACAAAAAATAAAGGGAAATGGAGAGAAGATCAGCAAAACTAACCCACATATTAATGGTAGTTGATTATATATGCAATGTTCCACATTCATTCCCCACCACCACCACCATCTCTGCAAAGAGAGGTGCATTCTCTCTCTCTCTCTCTCTCTCTCTCTGGAACAAGCTTCGATTATGAATTCTCAAAGGTTAGGGAGTAGTGCTGGTCAGTATGGCTAAAAGGCTAATGAATGTAGCAAGAAAATGGTTGTTGGGCTAGGGTTGGTGAGACTGGGGGCTTGGTGTGTGGCAGGAATGTGGATGGAAGCATGGTGAATGTGGTCAGACTGCCATTCATGCTCAAGGAGGTCCTATGAAGCTAGAAAGGTATTTTAAAATAAATTTATCTCTTTATTTTTAGTTTTCAACATTCACTTCCATAAGATTTTGAGTTCTAAATTTTCTCCCCATCTCTCTCTTCCCCCCACCCCAAGATGGTGTATAAATTGATATAGGCTCAACATATACATTCATATTAAACTTATTTTCACAAAAGGTATTTTTTTTTTTTGGTGAGGCAATCGGGGTTAAGTGACTTGCCAAAGGTCACACAGCTAGTAAGTGTCAAGTGTTTGGTTTGAGGCCAGATTTGAACTCAGGTCCTCCTGACTTCAGGGCCAGTGTCTATCCACTGTGCCACCTAGCTGCCCCTCACAAAAGGTATTTTTAAAATTAAATTTTATTTTATTTTCAAGTCATCTGCCTTCTCTTCCTCTGACTCCCCCCTCCCTCCTTCCCATAAGAAAGCAAGAAAAACAAAACCCCATTACAAACATGTATATAGTCAAAGCTAAGGAAGTATTGACATATTCTGTGTCTATAATCAAGAGTAGACCAGGTAAATTCAAACAGATTCCAAGAGGTAAGTGAATACCTGTCCTTTCCAAATATGCCTAGTATTTCCATAGAAAAATGAAGAAGGAAATAAGCATTTATATAGTGCCCACTGTGTGTTAGGTCCTGTACTCATTTGATCCTCACAACAACCCTGGGAGATAAGTGCTATTTATTATTAATATTATTTTATATGTTTATATATTATATATATTACACATTATTATTTATTATTATAATTTATTATTAATAAATACGCTATTTATTATCCCTATTTTACAGTTAAGAATGTGACCTGCCTGGGACCACATAGCTAGTAACTGTCTAAGGCTGACACAGTTTGGGGTTGCTGGGAACCCCGAAGTTTAAGGGTACAAGGAGAGTCTGCCTGGAAAGAATTCCAGCACTCAGGCCTTCTTTCAGTCAGAGCAAGGTTTATTGTAACACCAATAGGAGCAGGCTAGATTCTTAGGAAATCTGCAGCTTGATGAGGATGGGACTGATAGTTTTATATATATATAAAATGAAAAAGGGTAAATGACAAGATTTTGATGTGATTAAGAAGTGGTAAATAGTCTGGGGTGGGCCAGGTCCAACCTTGAAAAGATGTAGATGGGATTAAGTAGTATCAAGTAAGGCAATTAAGTAATCAAGATGGGCTGGGGTGGGCCATATGCCTTAGGGCCGTATGCCAGTGATCTGGGCAGCTGAAAAGTTCAGGGACTGGCTTGCTTCTAGAGACAAAGTCTTTTCCTTTAAGAGTCCAGGTCCATAACCCAATCAAGGTCATATTTGAACTTAAAACTTACAGATTCCAGGCCCAGTGCTGTGTTTCCAGCACCATCAGCTGTCTCTAGAGTTAAATAAAACAGTATTCCTCCACACAGGGTAGTGTTCAAACCCAGCTCCCTCCTCACTCTAGTATCAGGCCTATTTCTAGTATCAGATTGCTAATGAGGGGCCAAGTAGACCCTCAGACATCTCCTCTTTCCCCTTTCCCCACCTCCACTCCCCCAGGAAGGAAAGGTAGGACTATTTGGTAGGGCTAAAGGAGCTAGAGACTAATAGGAAATTTTAAAATCATTAGCAGGTGACAAATTTTTTTTTAAAGAAATGGCAGCTCATGGAGACCATCTTCTAAAGGTGAAAGGCTGATCACTTTGCATCTATTTGGAAAGTGTCCACACTGATAAAACGGTTACTTGTTTTTTAAAAAAAAGTATTTTGTTGTTGTTGAGTCATGTCCAACTCTTCATGAGTCCATTTGGGGTTTTCTTGGAGAAGATACTGGAGTGGTTTGCCATTTCCTTTTCCAGCTCATTTTATAGATGAGGAAACTGAGGCAAACAGAGGTAAGTGACTTGCCCAAGGTCACACAGCTAACTAGTAAATATCTGAGGCTGGATTTGAACCTAGGTATTCCTGACTCCAGGCTTTGTGCTCTATCCACTGTACTACCTAGCTGCCCTAAAAAGTGTTTAGAAAATATTGATTATCCCCACTAGGCTGCTGAGACGCAGTATGATAGAGAACGGGCTAGGAAGCTATAAGTTAAAATTCTGCCTCTGACACATATTGCCTAGGCAAGTCACATAGCACTTGAAAGACCAAGGTCTCAATATATGCAAAAAAAAAAATTCCTTTGAAACAAAAATTTTCATCTTACTAACTTTTTTTTTCTGTGTTCTTTATGGACAAAAAAAAAGAAAGTGCACTGTGTCCATTGACAGCAGAGGTACTGTTAAATTCTGGTCCTTCTAGTGCTCCTGGCACCTCTCAGTGCTGTAGACAACTCAAAGACTATACTATAAATTGCATAGAAGATGCTAGAAGGAGTCTCCTCTCTTTACACCAATGAAATCACTGATCCAGTACCCATACCCCACTAGAATCCAACTAGGATGAAAATATAGATTAATTTGGGAAGGGTGGAAGGACAAAAGAATGCAATCAGAAATGGGAGTAAATGTGAGCTATTGGGAGAAAATGCTGACCCTTATGTCTTTTTATGTCTTAGGGCCTGCCTCTCTTCAATATGATCTTATCGTTGTGTCCCAGCCAGAACCCAGGGAACCTCTCTACATGGCCCTTGGCTATATAAATGATCAACTCTTCCTTCACTATGATGGGGAGAGTAGAAGGGCAGAGCTGCAAAAACCATGGAATGATACAGAGGAAGGGAGAAAAGTCTGGGACATGGTGACCCAGGACCTTGAAGAGATGGGGAAAGAGCTGAGAGTGACCCTTCAAGACATTCTGAGACAGAACTACCAGAGTGACAGCAGTGATGGTGAGTATGAAGGATAGAAGTATGGGAAGAGTGGTGGTGAAGGCTATGGGAGATGGGGACTGGGGCAGGGATAGGACGATGGGCCTACTGGGCCATGTCAGACCTTCCCTTCTCCCTTCCCCATGGAGTCTATTTTAGAATCTCAAAAGGACCCAATCTGAGTCCCCTTGTAACCTGTATGGGTGGGTTGGGGGATCAGGGAGAAGGCTGTGCCCTAATTGAACACCAAGCAACAAGGTGAAGATGGGCAGTAGTTATTCATCTTAGGGGTGGGTGGTTTCAGGCTCTCACACCCTTCAGGCCACATTGGGGTGTAAGCTCCAGGGCAACAATAGCACCAGAGGGTTCTGGAGGTTCCAATTTGATGGGCAAGACTTCCTGACCTTTTACCCGGAGAGACTCAACTGGACTGCAACCCATCCAGCGGCTAAGAGAATTAAGGAGAAATGGGAGGACTGGTTCCAAATGAAATTCCCTCAAGTCCGTGAGGAGGAATACTGTTCTATTCGGCTCCAGAGATACTTGGCATCCTGGAAGGGGATCTTGGAGAGGATAGGTAGGAATCCCAGGACAGGAGTTTTTCTTTTGATTCATGGGTGTGGTTTGTGCCCCAGATATGGGGTATTGTGGGTTTAAAGAGTTTACAGAAATGATTGATCCATGGCTCTCCTCCCTTGAAGCTTTCCTTATTTTCAAAAAATGCCTGCACCCTCTCTCTGGTGAGACCTACACTCTATTCCATTTCAGAGCTACCAACCGAAGTACCCCCTGGACCCAACCTCTTGTCCCATGAACCTCTGCAGGTCGAGCTACTAATTATGAGCATAGGCCTCATCTTTGCTATCCTTGTTGTTGTTGGAGCTCAGCTGTGGAGGCAGATGCGGGCAAAGCCAGGTACGGAGGACAAGTTTGTTTATGGAGTTGGATAAAAGAGACTGTTGGATGGCAGAAATAACCAACAGGGCTAATGGAACTGTAGGCAAGGGAGGAATTTCTCAATAATTCTCTCCTGGCCCAAGGAGAGGTAGTATTTAGTATCATCAATGTTTCACCTTCTCTCTCTTTTTTTCCATAGTAGCAAGAAAGGAAACACATATTTATTAAGTGCCTACTAAGTGCTTTACACACATTATCTGATTTGATCCTCACAACAACCCTGGGAGGTAGGTGGTATTATTGTCTTCATTTTACAGATGAAGAGACTGAGGCAGATAGAGGTTAAACAACTTACCCAGAGTCACACAGCTAATGGTCTGAATTTAGGTTTTCCTAACTCCAGGACTAGAGACCTATCCACTTTACCACCAATCATGCCTCAGGCTCTACTTAGACCTTGATTGGCAGCATGGAAAGAGCACTGAAATGGGAAGCAGGAGAAACTTGGGTTTGATTACTAGAACTGACACTAGCTATGTGACTTTGTTGTTGTTGTTGTTTTTTTAGGCAATTGGGGTTACGTGACTTGCCCAAGGTCACACAGCTAGTAAGTGTCAAGTGTTTGGTCTGAGGCCAGATTTGAACTCAGGTCCTCCTGACTTCAGGACCGGTGCTCTATCCACTGTGCCACCTAGCTGCCCCTACCTATGTGACTTTGGGCAAATCCTTAACCTCTCTAAGTTTCCATTTCCTTATCTGAAAAATATGGACAATACTACTTGCTCTACCTACATCACATGATTGTTAGGAGGAAGGTGCTTTATAAACCTGAAAGTGCTATATAAATAGGAGTTTATTACTCCACGGGATCTATGGAGAGGGGTTGATTTGGGCTAAATGAACCAGAGATGATGCTTAGTGACAAAAGAAGGGTATATGGGCTTCAGTCCTCCTGCCCTACCCCTCCCCATTTCTCCTCTTAACTAGCCTGAGGGACTTTTCTTACTCTAGCATTCATTGGAAAGGAGAGAAGAGGGAGACCTATGGACAGGATAAGGGACTCTGCTCTCCTTGTTCATATTTCCTTTCTCTTCTTGAGTCTGACTTTTCTTGGCCTTATATGGGGTATTCTTGGAAGAGATGTTAGAATGATTTGCCATTTCCTTCGCCAGTTCATTTTATAGTTGAGGAACTGAGACAAACAGGGTTAAATGACTTGCCCAGGGTCACCCAGCTAATAAGCTTCTGAGGCAAGATTTGGATGCATGAGGATGAGTATTCCTGACTCTAAGCCTGATGCTCTATCCTCTATGTGACCCAGCTACCCATCTCCATCAGTAGCTTTCATTTAGTTATCTTTCTTCTTCTTCTCTCCTTCCCCAGAGATTAGACCTACCAGAAGAAGTGAACAGAAATCTGCCCACCCTCTTTTCCCAGGTGAGTCACTGCGGGAAATTCTAAGGAAGGCCAGGCATGGTACAGAGTGAGGTAATGTATTCTCTGTTCTTGGAAAGGAAGAGATAGAATTTGGTAGAAAGGGTTGGATGGATAGAAACTCAGGCTCCCAGGATGGTGGCTTTAGTGGAGAATTCTGACCAGATCAATGTGTTCTCATTTTCCTTCAGTGTTACTACCCTTTTGTCAAACCTAACCTGACCATCTTTAGATTATGCACTCTTTTAAATCTACTCTCCTGGCCCAGAGGCAGAAGGAATTCCCTCTGTTTCCTCAAGGAATTAATCAATCAAAATGAGAGAATCAGCTGTCCTCATGTGGGAGATTCATGATTGAGAGACGAAGTTGGAAGGAGGGTGAAAGACAGTGTAACTGGGCCCCAGAGCTATTGGAGATGACAGTAGCCTTGGGTCTGTGCCTCTTGGCTCCATCCACTGAGTGTTTCCTCCTTGTGCATTCTGGGAGAGAGATCATCTTGGCCCCTTGTTCATTTTTGCAGGTTTTGGTAACATCAGAGAAACTCAGAGCATGGTGTAGGCAAGACTTGGAATCAGGAGATGAAGGTTTGTATCCAAGCTTCAACACTTACTAGCAGTGGATTTGTGGAAAATTCACTTTATCCCTTGGAGCCTCAGTTTCCTTGTGTGAATAACCCGAGAAGGAGTACCTATGCTATAGGGTTATTGTGATCAAAGAATTTTGTAAACCTTAAAACACCATCAAAATGTAGCAGTTGATGGTGATAGCGAAGAAGGCAGGCTAAACTATCCTCTCCCCCAGTGGAATGGGTGCTTGAGAACAATTTGTTCCAATGGCCATGAAGGCAACTAAAGTAGACACTGTGGAGGGCTTAGAGCTTGGTTGGAAATTCAGGACACCAAAGTCATCCACTGCATCCTAGGCCATCACCAGTGATCCTGACTTTTGTCTTTCTGCTGGACTTTGATGACTCTAGAAGAGAGAGTGAGGCTGATGATTTTGTGAAACTCTGCCTCATTTAAATCCAATTCACTCATAAGTCAGGACATTGCCCCATGATATCATTGGTCCTCTTCAGAAAAGAAGGATGAACAACAACTTGAATTGGGGAGATATGACTTTTGTTTCATTCTTTTTTTTTTCAATGAGGCAATTGGGGTTAAATGACTCTAGTGAGTGTTATGTGTCTGAGGTCGGATTTGAACTCAGGTCCTCCTGACTCCAGGGCCGGTGCTCTATCCGGCCACTTAGCTGCCCCTGTTTCATTCTCTCCTGCTTCATGGGAGGGACTTTCTTTTTGAGCCTGGTATACCGGTAACAGGACCTGTGGGTTCAAGAATTAAAATGATCTCACCCACATTTTGCTCCCTCTAGCTTGACTCTAAACTGGCTTGTGATTTATTCCTGGGAGTAGCAGAATTCTGAATTCATGTGCCAGGCTTGCACAATCTACTAAAGTTCTCCCTTTTTGTACTATAGTTGATAGCCCCAAGCCCCTAGATCATTTCCTGGAGACCAAACGTTTTGCTTCTTTACAGTAAAGAAAGGTCTCTCCCTTATTCTCTCTGTACTTATAAACTTGGTATAATGTAAACACAGGTTAGCATTTTTGCTAGCCAGTAAGGTTTTATGCTAGGTAAATGGGATTTGATTTGAACACTATAACCTAAGAACAAAAACCAGCCCACCTCGATAATTGGAAAGGGAAAAAGCCTTTTTGCTATCACATAGAAAAAGTGCCTAGATTCCTCTGGTCTCTCCAGCTGACCTCTTGGAGCTGTGAATCTATTGCTGCTCTGGCTTCTGCTGGATCCTAGCACTGGGATCTGATATGTTTTTATTTGGCAGCATTTTGTTTGCACCCACATGATCTACTGAATCCCTTTTTCCTGCTTGCTTGGTTCTCACCTTTCTTCCTGCTTGGGAGTCAAGGTTAGGCCCTCTACTGTCTATTTCTGACCTAAAGGCAGGCTAGAATGGGTAGTTATTATTTCTTCTATTTCAGGCCTGAGCTCTAAAGATTCCATATGGTTGTGCTGAGCAACCTGGATACCCCTTCCCCTGTTCCCACCACCCCAAACACATGCACTTTTTAAGAAGAGCTGTGAATGATGCTACAGACTCCTCAGGAAGCCATTTGGCCCAAGGGGCTGTGATCTAAGAATAGATTAGACAACCCCTGGACAAGACCAAAACATGTCCATCTTGAGACTGCTGTTCAATAACGTACTTGGGAAAGGAAACAAAAAGAAGGAAAGGAAGCCAGGGGCCCACACTGAGCCCATGTTCCACATGGAAGTAGCCACTGCAGGATGGGAGGAAGAGTACAGTTCATTTCCTGCAAGTCCGCTCCCCCATCCCACAAGTCTAGAGACAGATCACTACTTGCCTCATGGGAGAGAGTAAGTCAGAAGTTGTGTCTCCTTTCAAATGAGGAAGTACCCTGCCCCCATGCCCATGTTGTAGTGCAGGTTGATGACCAAAGGATCACCCAAAGCTTGCTATGTCATACCAAAGTGCCAATTCCTTTCAGTGCTGGGTTAGTAGCCCTGAAGTAGTCAGTCACACATCATCCTCTGTGTGGGCAAGTGCTGGGCCAATACAAGTGGTGGATCAGAACCAGGAAAGGCAGCTCTGAGCATGCTCCATGAGATGGCTCTTATTTCACATTAATTTATGTAGGGATATGTACACCTGAGAATAGGGAAGGAGGAAGAGAGAGAGAGAGAGAAAGAGAGAGGGAGAGAGAATGAGAACATATGAAGGAGGTGATAGCTCTGTAGCATACTGACTGAACTGTGTGAAATTTTTTTGTTATCCAAGAAAACAGTTTATTAAGATGTCATGAAAAACATTTTAAAAAATTAGATGAAGTCCAAATATGAAAGATAAAATAAGATTTTGCATGAAAATTAACATGATTTTCGTAGTAATATTACTAAGTTCCACACTGAAGTAAAGTTCCTTCCTATAACTTCCTTCAGTCTGTCTCTGTCTTAGTCTTGGTGACTCTTTTAATTTGTTCTTAACCAGGGTTGTCAAATGTCACTGATAGAAACTGAGTATTTTAAGCAGCAGCCCCATTCCCAACAAAGAAGCATCTAGTTAATTTCTCTTCTGCTTCTGCAACATGATGTAAAAGAGAACAGGAAAAAAAATGACTTAAGGTTTTTTTTTAAAAACTGTTAATTTGACTTTTTCATTTTCAAGTCAAGGTACTTGACTTAATCTTCCTCTGTGATCTTGAGTCTTCAAATCTACCATAGCCTGACCTCATTTCATTTGACAACACTAACTGCCTTTGTCATTTCAAAAGTTAATATATCCAAAATAGAATTCATTATCTTTTCCCCCAAACCCACCTCTCTTCCCAACTTACTTATTTCTTTTCAGGACATCACTTTCATTCACTCCCACCTCCCTCCCCATTCAATCTATTGCCAAATCTCATTGACTTTACCTCCACAACCTATCTCACATCCATTTTCTTCTCTCATAAGCAACCACCCTAGTTTAGGTCCCCTCACCTGGACAATTGCACTAGCCTCCTAATTGCCTTCCCTGTGTCTATTCTCTCTCATCTTTAATCTGTCATCCACTTAACTGCCATCTTGGTATTCCTAAACCATGCCATGCCCCTGCTGAAAAGATTCAGGGGCTTCCCGTTGCCTCTAGATCAAAAGGCAAAGGTTTGACATTTAAAGCCCCGTTCTCTTCGCTCCAGCTGGGGCTATTTTTGTCTTCCTTTGTAACCCTGGTGCTAAGTACTGTGGCTGGTACATGTTGTTGTTATTTCAGTCATTCCACTTGTGTTTGACTCTGTGATCCAATTTGGAGTTTTCTTGGCAAAGACACTGGACTGGTTTGCCATTTCCTTCTCTAGCTCATTTTACAGATGAGGAAACAAAGGCAAACAAAGTTAAATGACTTGCCGAGAATCACACGTAAGTGTCTGTGAGGCCAGATTTGAACTCAGGAAGATGAGTCTTTCCTGACTCCAGGCCTGGCACTCTGCATAGAAAACACTAAATAAATGCTGGTTGGACTCCTTGGATCAATATTATAGAGGTTGTCCCCAAATTATATCTATTTGGTTTTTATTGTCCCTACTCAGAGTTAACTTTGGGACTCTCAAAATATAGCTCATTTCTAGGTCTTAACAGATGTAGCTAAAATAGATACAGTTTCTATGCAAGTTCTCAAGGTAACAATGCATATAGGATATAGGACAATCTTAATTTCTCCCCATAACATTGTTTTAGAGTTAGACTTTCACAACATAAATTCTTCCACATGGTTGATAAGATATTATAACTTTATCTACTTAAGCACAGTTACAAAATTTAGATCACAACTCTGGGGGAGGGGGCTCAAAACTCTTACTAAATCATAAGAATTCTACCTTTTAATGCAAAAAATACTTCATTATTACAATTTTTCTTTTTAAAAATTTTATGTTTTATTTTAATTTGTGAAATGAGATAAGCATGTCTATAACAATAATAAAAAAGATTGCAATGCAAGTGCAAATCTATTATGAACAACTTGCTATTCCTTTTAAATATATAATAGATTTATCATGTAAATACCTTCTTTTCTTCCCCCCCCCAGAGATGGCTACCATTATATAGAAGTTTTTAAATACACACATACACACACACACACACACACACACACACGTGTATAGATTTGAGATATAAGACCTTTATCTGAGAAACTGTCTATAAAGGTTTTTACGCCAATTTTCTGCTTTCCTTCTGATCTTGGCCACATTTGGCACAGTAGAATTCCATCATGCCCATATACCACAACTTACTTAGCCATTTCCCAATTGACAGGCATCCCCTCAATTTCCAGTTCTTTGCCACCACAAAAAGAGTTGATATAAATATTTTAGAACATATAGGTTCTTTTCCCTAATCATCTTTGGAAAAAGACATCATAGTGGCATAGTTGGGTCAATCACATGTCTGATATTCTCCCAAATTCTACAATACAAGAAAAACTAGAAGAATAAAACATGGGTTTTTTTATTTTTAAATGTAACACCAAACTTCTCAATGTGGGATTCAATCTTGCCCAATCTACAAGAAAAGAAAATGAGGCAGAGATCCAAGCCAATAGCACTTTATTAAAGGGTCCATGGCTCCCTCTAATGAAGACCTTAGATCTTCCTCACAGTCTGAGATGGCCCCTTTCCTTAAATGCTTAGTTTTGTAGAGCTTGACGTACAGATGATATAGAAGAGGCAAAGTAAAATATGTAGTCTCATTGGTTGATAGACCTGTATTTTGACCTTCCAGGAGAATCTTCAGTTTATGCTTGTGATAAATTAACTGGTAGAGGATATCCAAATATACCAGAGCTGATGGTCTTTCATTGGTCCCATGTTGGACAATAGATTGAGGAATAGATTTGTAGGCAGATCCTGCAATGAGAAGATAGGGTTACCCATTGGTCAAATAATCATAGGACCTGTTGACCAAGTGTCATAGGGCCATTTCCCTAGCCAAGGGATAACAACGGTAGAAGTATAATAAAAAAATAGCTGGGACACTTTCCATACCATTGAGTCACCCCCCACCACACTGGGCTTGGCCATTTACTCATCAGGCATTGGTTAAGCAAATGGATTCACTAGATTGACAAACTGTATATCAGTAGACAAGTACAACAGTAATAATCAATGCCCCTATGGAATCAAACTCAACTTAATAATACTAACCAGGGGTCTACATTAATCATTTCCCACATCAAGTCCTTCTCAAGTCAGATGTCATGTATGCAGTTGGATAAAATTTTAACTTAGTCTTCTTAGAAAATCATTTATGTCATTACGTTCCAAAAACAAATAACAATAGTCAACATTTATATTGTGCTCACTATGCTAAGCACTTCAGAATAATTTTATTCCTACAACAATCTTGGGGGGTGAGTGCTATTATTTATTATCTCCTTTACGTATAAAGAAGACTGAATAAATTCTTCTGATATACCACAACTATTATTCTTTTTTGGTCTATGTTTTCTTTTGCAACATGGCTAACATCGAAATGGTTTGCATGACTGCACATGTATAATCCTCATCAAAGTGCTTGCCTTCTCATTGAGGGAATAGAGAGGGAGGGTGAGAATTTGAAACCAAAAATGTTAAAAAAAAACAAATATTAAAACTTTTTGTTACATGTAAATGAGAAAAAATAAAATTAAATGCAAAAAAGTCAATTATTAGTTTCTGAATCTGAAAAACTGATCTGAGTCCTATCCCACTGTTTTAGTAGTTTCAGCATCTTCTTTTAAATGTTATGGCCTACAAATCATTTGGGTGCAAAGTGGCAGCCCCTTACAATTTTGAGGAAACTAGTGGTTTAAGAGAACGTTATTGCACTGCTGCCAATTTTCCCAAAGGGTAAAGAGAAACAGATGGGTTAAAACAATTTGGAATGAATGGAGGAGAGTATCGATCTTGTATTTCCTTTTCTTTCATGTATTTATCAAGAAGCTTAATTAGTATTGCAGGGATTCTTTTCTGTTTTCATGGTACTAGGTTTCCCATTCAGGTCAGCGCAGCATTAGTCTTAACCCGTGTTATCTTCATTTCTGATAAAAAACCAAATGGTGACCGCTGGCGTATGCTGATCTGATATGTTACAATTTCATATTTTGTTTTTCTTCAGTAATAGACAGTGAGGGAAATGCTCAGTGGAATAAAATGAAAGTTTTTTTTTTAATGAAATAGATGCTTTATTTAAACATTTCTTCCTTCTTTAACATAAAAGGCATTACGATGTATAAGTGGAAAGGAGTTTTTCTTAAATTGATTGATAATAAATTGGGTCTAATGTTTTCACCTAGATATTTTAGAAATGTCATGTGGTATTTTTAATGTCAAGTGCTAAACTGCTAGTTCTGCTCAAATAAACAAAGAAACATTCAGCCTTATAGCCTAGGCTACTGTTCTGGTGTTCCTGCCTCCTCTTTCCCTTTCTGCTACTACAGTTTTGGGTATCTGGCTAATCTTTCTTTTCTATCTTTGTTGACTTCCACTCAGTTGAAAAAGACTTTGTAAGGACTGATTCAAGCATAGAACTATTGATTTGCTCACCACCATGCCTACCTCTGATAGGTCAGGCATCCACAATCAGTTTTCTCATCTGTACAATGGGGATGTTAATATTTTTACAGATGTCAAGACAAAGGAGAAAAATTTCTAAAATTTCATTTCCCATCAGCGGTGTGAAGAGAGTATCTCTTATTAGCAGAAATACTCTGGGCTATGTTTCCAGGGAGGCTGTATGTTTAGCTCAAAGCACGGTGACATGGCCAAATGAAGAATTAGACTGTCAAGGAATGTATAGACAAGAAACTATCCTTTTTTTTCTTTCCCTTAACATTCCATCTCATAGAATCAATTGAGTCTTTGTCGACATCATCATGCAATGGTTACACGTACAGCATTCTGGGAAATATAGTACAAAGAATTTCCAATGCTCTTCTGATTTTAAGACTTTTGGGAAATCAAGTTTTAAGACCTTTTTGTCTTAGTCAGGCCCTCTACACTTGTACTACCTTCCTTACAAGGTTGTTACACAGATTACATGAGGTAAATTAGATGTAACATGGCACTGAGATAATATCATCAACAGAGGCTCCTGGAACCTCCTGCCTGATATCCTGAAAACCACGAGACCGTAACTGATGAGAAGGTGCC